ATCTAGGTTGTTCATCTATGGTGTCCCACAAGAATCTACCTGATCCTCAGTAGTGTTTAAGTCTACCTGAACCTGCTGGGGGAGGTCATTCAGAGATCTGAAATGGAATGCCATCAGTATGCTGATGTTCAATATCATAACCCTAAGGAAGCAATTAGTACCTATAAACATTGCTAAATAATGAGCTGAAGATGAAAAACAAGCTGAAATTAAACCCTAAATAGACAGGTTATGTTGTTGTTGTTCAGTCATTAAGCTGCTTCCAAATCTTAGTGATCCAGTGGGATATTAATTCATTAGAATTGTCTGTCATAACCACTTCTTTGAGTTATGAAAAGCTCATGCTTGTGCCATTTATCTAATACTTTAGGTATTTTGTCTGTCAATCTTTTTCAAAATTGTCCTTGTTTTTCCAGGCACCACAATCTTCCCCAATGACTCTGCATTATGTATACAAAATATTTAAGCTTTAGCTGCTTTATTAGTGCTTCCAATGATCACCTTTTCAGTTTATTTCATCTAATATTAAATTATTTTTCTTCTTGTGATCCAAGTTATTGTGAGAAATTTTCTCCAGCACCATAATTCAAAGACAGCATTTTTTCTTTATTCAGTCTTTCTAATGTTCCAACTTTCAGAGCCATATGTTACAGCTGGGAAAACTATATCATTGACAATTCATATCTTTGTTGTGAGTGGGATCTCTCTGTATTTTAATAGTTTGTCTGTGTCTCTCATAATTTTTCTCGCAAGTAGCAGACAATTCTTTATTTTATATCTGTTATCACTGTGTACATTTTGGAACCTAGAAAAACAAAGTTTGTCTTTTAACTTTCAACTATTTCAATTTCTTTAACTGTTTGCATTGGGTTGGCATTGCCTGTTGACATAATCTTACGTTTAGTCACAGACCATTTTTTTTACACTGTCTCATCTTCTATAAGAGGTTTCTTAGACATTGTGAATGTCAAAACTTTTTATAAAGTACAAATTAAGAGAATTACAGATGAAAAAGGAGAATATTCAGACTATGTCCCTTCAATTTATGAGAAACGTTTTAAATGATACTCAGTGGGTCCTTTGGAACATATGTGTAGCGCTCCCTGGAGTGCTACCAAAGTTTAAAATATCTGGGATCTCTATAGGCTCATGAAGACATTGGCTTTAGCTCACCTCTTCAGTTGTTGGACTAGGAAGTATCTGTGTATTGTTCTCCTTATTTTAATTGTTAATAATTGTTACAATTATTAATTGTGATAAAAGGCTTCAGGGAATAGAATGGAGTAGAATAGGAATGGAACGGAACAGAACAGAACAGAATAGAATAGAATAGAATGGAATGGAATGGAATAGAATAGAATAGAATAGAATAGAATAGAATAGAATAGAATAGAATAGGAATGGAACGGAACGGAACAGAACAGAATAGAATAGAATAGAATAGAACAGAATAGAATAGAATAGAATAGAAGAGTTGGAAGGGACATTGGAGGTCTTCTAATCCAACCCCCTAGGCCAAGAAACCCTACACCATTTCAGACAAATGGTTGTCCAATCTCTTTTTTAAAACTTCCAGCGTTGGAGCATTTACAACTTCTGGAGGCAAGTTGTTCCACTGGTTAATTATTCTGTTGGGTAATTTCTCCTTAGTTCCATGTTGCTTCTCTCCTTGATTAGTTTCTGCACTGCTGGCCACCAAACACTGATCAGCTAATCAACATTGCTACAACAGACTCCGCACCTGCTGCTAGCAGCCTCCACACCTTCAGTGTCCCTCCCCTTATTGCTTCACTGGAGTGGACAACTCTCCCTCATAATTTTCAAAAGTATATGGAAAATGTGAACATATACTTTTTATATACTTTTATATTTTTATAAATTTTTTATTTTATATTTTTATATACATATACTGATTAACTATTGCAATCTGTCAGTAATTGAAAAGTGGTATTTTCAAATAGGATTCCAAATAAATTCTGGAATTATTTATTTATTTGTTCATATTTCTTAATTACCCATTTCCCTATTAATGATAGTGTTGTGAAATATTTAATAGGACTTAAACAGACTTGGAACCACTTGTCTTCATATCTGCATTTCTTTTTCTCCTGCTGAGACTGTAAAAACATTTAAATTTTGTAAGTTCTAGAGCATTGCCAGGATTCGGCTCCTTATTTCCCCAGGCTATTTATTCTTTTAATTGCTTAATCAGATTGTGGTTCTAGAGCATTTCCTGTTATCCTAGATATATCTCCTTCACCACAGTCTTGGGTTTGCTGCTTAATTGTGGTAAATATTTATTCCCATTTTTGTTTATAGCAATATCCTATCATTGGGAAATTTGGCACTGTAAGTGTGTGTGGCATTCCTTCCTACTCTGATGCTTGGAACAAATATTGGTGCTGTCATGTTATACCAGGATTGATCACTGATCTCCCTGTTTTTTGGAATGTTACTTATACAGTTTGTGAGGGATTCCGCAGGATTTTGAGTATTGATTAAAGGATCTTGGAGGCAACTGGATAATGACACTTCAGAAGGAATTGGGTCATGACAGGTACAAGTCTTCTCTTGAAAAACACTAATATTAGAAGGAGAAGGAAAAGAAGAAAAATCAATTAGTAAAGATGACTATAAACAACCCTCATTCAAACCTAATTCAAATTTTGATTTCAGGCTGTTTGCTTCTGATTTTGTTAGAATTAATTCACAGTAGTAATTGATTAATCCTACTTTTCATACTTTGTTTTATGAGTGATCTGGTAAAACCCCTAGCTGTTTTGCAACAATACAGGTAGTCCTTGACTTATAGTGATTGGTTTAGCCACATTCAAAGTTACAATGGCACTGAAAAAAATGGTTACAACCAGTCCTTGCGCTTAGCATCTCATAGCATCCACACAGTCATGTGATCGAAATTTGGATGATTGGCAACTGGAAATTCTGCTCCCAATTGTGGTAGTAAGTCAAGGAATTACCTATACTAGAGATCAAACTGCCTTATTTTTATTTCTTGCAAAAATGATCATACTGCAAAACATGAAATACATACATCTACAAATAAACTCATATGATTGGATTCAGAAAAGGACAGACAGACAGATTTAAAAAGGGGCTGCCCACTGTTCAGCGAGCAGACTGCCAAATCCTTGAACTCAGAAATCATACAGATGAATTTAACACCACCCTTGTACTCAAGTCACCTGGGTATAAGAGATGCACAAGTGAATCTTCTGTTTTCCTTTTTTGTCCATCTTCAAAACATGTAAATGGATCTATATTGTTTTAATTCATTTGGTTTAGAATGAAAGAATGCAGCTACTTCATTTTGCTAGCAATTTCTTTCAAAGAAAAGTTTTGGGAGCTTCTGTTTTAAATTAAATCCACTCAAAAATACAAGCCTTTTTTATATTTTAGAGATAGACCTCTTCTTCGCGTGCATATCACATGAAGTGTATCTTTTGCCAACAATATTTTATAGATAGCGAAGGATGCAATACTAGTAATAGTTATTGGAAAAGAACATTCATTCAAGAGTGGTAGCAAAAAATGATAATTCTGAGGTAATATGAATGAATTGTCCTTGGAAAGCACTAAAACCAAATGTACTCTAATGTTCCCGTTCCAAGACATAACAAGTTTTTCTTGGAACTAGTTCTGGCACAAACAAAGAATGGAAAGTGTCTGTTCAGCAGCAGCTTTATTAGTTAAAAATAATAATTTTCAGATGACAATTAGATGTAAAACCTACCCCAACCTCTTATGCCAAAAGACCTGGTATCCAAGGAACCGTTTTCCTTCTCTTCCCAAGTTTGTTACTGTAAATGGGTTGTCAAAAAAGGAGATGGCTTTTGGGGCACTGGAAGAGCCTGAAACTTTCCTTAACAAAAAGTGAATGGCCTTGAAAACTAGAGGCCATGGACGGGGTGGGGGGTGTGTGGGGGTGGCACTTAGCTTTAAGTAACCAATAAGAGCAGGGTGAGTCCCCATCTTAGTTACTTCACAACAATTCACTATAGACTGACTGTTTGGGACAATTTGTGCTGGCAGAAGCTGAAAAACTTTGGAGCAAGAAACGATGGACAGAAAGTGCCTTCACTGTGGACTGGGATGGGTTGAAGATGAAATTGGGCACTCATATTCTCAACAAATGGATACTGGGGCATTTTTACACCAGAATAAGCAGGATATGTAGATGAGTTCTTGAAATAAAATATTACTATTACAGCCAAAGTCCAGCCTGATAAAATGCTTAATAATACTGAGCAAAAAATATAAAAACTGTGAATCTCTTATTAAAAAATATACCACCACAATCTGTATATAACCGGACACAAACATTTATAGGCTAAAAGCACTCTAAAACAGGATAAAAATTAGATTTTACTTGAACAGTCCACAGACAAATGGCTGGTTCAAAAAAGTGGTTTAGATATTCTTGAGCTGGTCTCTGCATACTATCACACTGTTCTGGTTTGCCAGCAGCCAGTGCGGACAGCAGAGGTATTGGACAGTGAGGACGAAAGGGAACCAGTCAGGGAGTCTGGTGACGACTTGGACGACGGTCCTGCATCTGATGCAGGGATGGGGCCAGGACTATCTGAGAGCGGGGTGCTGCCTTCAGAGCCATTGGAGTCTGTCAGCAGCAAAGCAGAGGAGCCCAGGGAGCCTGTTCCCAGTGTGCATGTGCGCAGAGCTGCTAGGAGAGAGCAGCTGAAGCAGCAGGGGCGACTTGGGAGTAAGGCTGGGAGGTGATTGCCTCTCCCATAAGGGATAAAAACCAGCCCTCGGGGATGTGCTCTTTGCAGGAAGCAAAGAAGTTCATTAGATTCTGATTCCTGATCGCAGCCCAGCGGACTCTGGTTTGTCTTTGCTGGAACTTCTGTCGGTTTATCTGCTAATTAAGGGAATGTCTGTTTCTTGGCAGCCTTTTACAACCCTGAAAGGCGTGCTCTTATCTCAGACAATTGTTTTTAATGAGTTTTGGCTGGGAATGCAAATAATTCCCAGTGTCGCATTAAAAAAGGTTTGCTTTTACACACAACATTTGTGACATTATATGTAATGAAGTACTTTTTGTCTGATAATTGTAGGGAATCCTAAAACTGATTGGCCTGGAAGAAAAGATGAAATGTGGAAAGATGGGAAAGGTGTAATGTATTTTAGGTGTGCTTATAGTTTCTAT